GATAGATAGATAGATAGAGAGAGAGAGAGAGAGAGAGAGAGAGAGAGAGAGAGAGAGAGAGAGAGAGAGAGAGAGAGAGAGATGTATCATGATTGACAATGTTATCTGATGTCCTCTCCAATTCACTGCGGAATCAATTATTATATCACACGTCTCCCGCCGAAAATGTTTATCTGAGTTGCGTACAAGCACTCACACACATACACAGAGTGTCACGCCAACCCGAACTCAGCCTCTGCATATATCTACACATTAATCGGGTGTTTTTTCTTTATCTCTCTTGTCGATCGTCTCGCAGGTTGACCTCCGTCATCCACTACCTTATGTTCATCGACATTGTCCCTTGCATCCGCATTGTCATCACGCCCGTCTACATGTACGTCGACCCCTTCATCGCTTAACGATATATAATTAATCACCGTCTGGGACGTGGTTGATCCCTCAAGCTTCCTCTTCCCGTCCTTCTCCGCCTCATCCAGCAGTTTCATCATCTCATCGGAATTTGTTTGCACCTCACTCGCACGTTCTGCATACCCACCTTGTTGCATTGCATCTGAAACCGTCATGTTTGTGGAAGGAGGGGGGCTCTCTATTTGCGATGCACTCTGGTTTTCCACCTTAGTTATTAGAGGAGGCCCGTACGATGCGACGTTCGAACGATCTTTGTCGACATTCCGTATTCCTTTGTCCACCCCCATTATCTTAACATTGGTTTTACTCATCGTTTCCCCAACACTGGCAGCCAAGTGCGTCGTTGACTGCCCCCCAAGCTGTGAGCATCCCAACTGGATTGTCTCAATACCTTGCCACACAGGATGAAGTTCGATTTTCCAATCGATGGTCTTGTATGACCGGTTTGACGGTAAGTCATAGAACTTGTGTTTATATTCCAACTGATTGTTGGAGTGCAGAGAATCGAATAGCAATTGAGCCTTCTCCTCAATAGCTGCCTCGTCCTCTCCGTCGTTTTCGCGCCTGACACGGAAGACGATTTCGCTCTTCGTCACTTTCAGCTACAGTACTTCTGCCAGTCTCGGTTTGACTTTCCATCCTGATGTTAGATGCAATGCCATCATCCACTCCCCCTTGAAAATGCATGGCTCGAATACGTCTGTATGCCACAAAATGTGATGCCCCCACTTCTCAGACGTCGTTTCTGGCACCTTGCCCTCAATGAAGTACGACCATTCGCTGGCCTGCACAATGCGATCGGGAGTATCATCACCGGGCATCAACCTCGGAAGGGCATCTGGAACCGCCAAGTCATCCTCATCGGCGTCTGCTAGCATGTTGTGTTCCGTGTTTCCTTGAAGAGTGCGATGCCTCCCTTGTAACCCGTGACGATTGCCATGAATCAATGCATTTTCAAGTGCTTTGAGGGGTGCAGGCGAATCCGTTTGCATCTGTTCAATGGAACTCGCCCTGTCGGTCACGTCACGCATCAGACTGCTCGCACCTCCCGATTTCGTGCGACCTTCTTCTGGATTCTCATTCGGCACGCTGCATGCAGGCACATTTTGCATTCCCTCTCGCAAACGTTTTACTCGCTCTTCGATTTCGAGGTCCTATGTTTCGGTTTCCTCGTCGCTCTCTATCGGATTCCATGCATCGGTTGTTTTGACAATGTTGTTGTACTTTTCATACGTTAGCATTGCCTGATTTGCTGTGAACTTCATTTGTTCACATCTCGCTACGAACATCGCAAACGCACCCACCTGTGCTTTATGATAGCCACCATACGCTTTCTGTACCATCGCTTTGCGAACTATGTAGTCATGCTCGAATGGCAACTTGGGTTGGTCTTGGAACAGATATTCCCACATCTTGTTTCTTTTCTTGCCCAGCTTGTGGTACATGTCCCTGTCCGAACGGTGCGCAGTTTTTTGTCTCTGAACAGTGCAATTGTTTCTCACGTCCTTCCCAAGAAATTCGATGGCCTTCGTCAAGTACGAAATGTCTTTGGACGACGAGTCGCATGCGAAAACATGATAGCCAGCGCGCAGAAGCTCCCACACAAGTCCAGCATGCGACTTCCCGATAAGAATCACCCCCTGATCCTCGTGCAGAAACGAACTACACAACTTCTGCAACTGTTTGGGATGTCGTTCCCACCGCCCATACACCTCTCGTTCGTTTTCTTTCTCACCGCCATGCCTCTTGAGCACCTCTTGAAGTGCTCCTCCTCAACGTTTAGCTCCACTATCTCCGCCTCTGATTTAGGGGCCCTCGTGACCTTCTTGAGGTCGCCGCCCTCGGCATGCAGGACGATCGCCATCGTGTCCTTATAATCGACTTGCCAGTTTCCGTACTTGCTAACAGTCGTCCCGACCCCGAGATAACGCTTCCAAGTCCCGGGTATCACCTCTACATCATCCGAGTTGTAAAGCTGCTTCATGACGATCTTATGTTGTTTTTGCGGGGCAAAAACAATCAAAATCCAATTATTACCGCACAATTTCGTCATCGTTTTGTGCAAAGCATCGAAATCGGTCGGCGACCATGCAAGGCACTTCTTCGGGTTGGCGAGATCGAGGATAGCCGCCTTGCAATTCAAGTTCGTGGCCGCAGTCACAATTTCGTCGGCCGCGGGCATCAACTCCTTGGGGTGCATGTTGACCGGTAGCAATGTTAACCGTCCTTGTTTCTTTTCCCAACTCAGATTAAGCGCAGCGTTCTTCAACTGTCGCAACTCAGCTGTCAACAATTCCACTCTTCCAATTTCATGGTATACGAAGTACTTGAAGTGGAAAGGCGCGTCCCTATACAATGCCTCCGTGGCCTTCATGCCAAATCTTTTCAGACCTTTTTCCTCTTGCTCTCCGCCGAGTCTTTTTGGAACCCTCCGGACGTATTCCAAAGGGATCCTATCCCTTTCCTCATCCCATTCGGCTGCCCTCACACCAAACCTTTGCTCCACTTTTTCATAGTCGAAGAAGTTCCCGTCCTTCCATTCCCTCGCCTCTCTGTTCTCCGATTTAAAGACGATGTAGTTGAACAGACGCATCATGTATCTCTCGCGCATTACGATGTCGAGGAGGTTGGTCATGTTCAACTTCCCAGGAGGAACAAGTCTAGTAGTGACGATGGTTTTTTTATTTATCATCAACCGCAATGCAATTTCCTTCTCTCGTGCCGTCATATCTCCAAAACATTTGAAGTTTGACGGAACGAGATCTTTGAAGGACACCATAGCGTTTGGTCCCCCGTCCCTAGCCGGTATGCAATGGAACACCTCGTTCTTCCCCTGCACCTCTTCAGTGAATTGGCCCGACACTCGGCCTTCCTGCTTCTCGGGCAAGTCCTTTGGGCATTTGTTGTCGTATAGCCGCAACTCCCCCGCCTCGAACTTCAGAAAAAACTCCTTTACCAATGGCCATATCCGGTCCCTACATGTGGCGATATTTATGTATTCCCTCATTCTGTTCGTCCAGTCCTGTTGCTACTTCCGAGCCAAACACTCGGTCCACAGTGATTTCTCACATGACTTCCCCATGCACACCCTCAAAAATTTCCTCCACTCTTCCTGGTGAGTCAAACCGGCGGGATCCCCTTTGGACACGTTCCCCACACGGCCGATCCGTTTCCTCGAGTCCCAAAATCCTCTGATGTCCTCGCAGGCTTGGTGAAAGGAGAGCAACATAGCACGGTTAGGTCTCATGTTGTCGTATATCGAAACATACTCGTACCCGTTCGTATGGTCGTCGTCGAAATATACGATCCACACACGATCATAATTCCAAAAGCCGAACACCTCCACTGCTGCAGAATTATTCGCCACTGCTCTTTTCATAGCTTCGGAAGTATGTTGACCGACAACCGGGTAATATAAATACTCATCTGCCCTATCGGGATCGAAGTCCTGTGGAAGGACGCGTATCGCTTGGCTGTTCTCGTCCATTGATGGTGTAATCGGAGCCAGCACCAACTCCGGTGAAACCCACGGAGTCGGATCATCCTCGGACCTTGGACGAGTTGATGCATCGATTGCCGCTTCGATGCCTGCAACGATGGTCGGGTTCAGCGATCGCTGGTTGAAGGCGATATCTCCCACCGGAATTGGAAGAATCTGCACAATGTCAATGACCACCCTCGGCGGGTCTCTTCTCTTTTTGCCGTCGTCGTCGTACTGGAGGAAGAAAACACTGCATCATATTGACCGCACTGGGTTTCTTCGTCTCCTGCTCGTCGTCGTAGGGAGAGCAAGCGAGGGGCCACCCCTTCAGCATCGTCGCCGGAGTCGTTCGATTTCTGGCGCCTTGATGGCCGCACGGGCTTCCTGGGTTGTGACGTTTTGCGAACCCGAGCACTTGATTTGCATTTCACATCGGCTTCACCAAGCGTCCCTTGAGGTGCATCCAAGGCAACCCGAGCTTTGTCCACAACTTTTCTTCGAGCCTGCTTCTTAGGCACAGCTGGCGTCGACGACGATTGCGCTGTGCGTTTTCCCTTCCCCTTGGAAGTTAGCCCCGCGGAAACACTGGCATCTCCTCCTTCGTCTTCTAATTCCTCGTCTTCCATTTCCGAACCATCGACACTGCCACCGCCCACCCCACCGCTCACGGCAACCTTTTTCCACTCCATATGGTCAACCGTTCCTCGAACGTGTTCTCGCCGCTCGCCAATACCACACTCCCCTTCATCCTCGTCGTGTTCTCCATCGTCCCTTACCCGAGCTTCGGCACCTCTACCACTTTGCCGCCGCTCATTCACATCGCAAGAGCCTTCGCCCTGGATGTGCCATGGCGTCACTATCAACCGGGAACGCACTTGCCGAACCCGTGCATTATCCTCCGTCTCTTCGTCTGACTCCGCGTCCATTTGACGTTGAGAGGTGTCCCGCGAGCATGAGCTGGCACTAGCACGCGAGCTCACCGGAAGATTCGAAGGAGGTCCGACGACCACCTTCTTCTTCGGAATGTTTCCTGATGACCCACCGGCCGAACGCCTCTGGTAAGTAATAATTGTCTCCTTCTCGCCGACAGGTTGTTGTTGTGTCAACACAACCTGCCGGCGATCGCTAGAGCACGCTGATAAGCTTGCGAGACTTTCGGCAGGAGCGTCGAACGGTACAATAGGTAACGTGAGCTGGTGACTAACAGCGACCGTCGGGAATTGACCACTTTTCCTATAACCGTTGGTCTTGCTGAGAAATTCAATGGGTAAGAGCATCCTCAACGCATTCCCATCTCGCTTGCTGTCGAAGGCTTTCATAGCGAATGCCTTCTGACCATACCCCTTGAACAGACCGAGGTCGAGGCTGACCTTGTGGTCAGTCCTGACCCAGTCGGTACCCCGCTCATCGTACACCGAAGTGAGGAAGAACTTCCTCAAGTCTCGCTGGTCGACCTTGCCCTTCTCCGCCGTGGCCTTGTCAATTTCAGACCTGATGATGCCGCCACAACAGTACCAGATCGCCCCGTCGTCCTCCGTCAAAAACACAGCAGCACCGCACCCGGCCTCGCCGGTCACACCGACCCAGTCGAGAGCCCACAACTTGTCGTGATACAGTTTCGACCTGTTGTTGTACCTCTTATCCGCATCATTCGGACCCTTACGACCTCTACCTGGAGGAGATATCCATAAGAAAAAAAGAGGAGGTTGGTAATCAGAAGTAGAGCTTTTGTAGAACGCTGGACCCCCACCTTTCACAAGCCGGCTTGCGGGGGTCCAGCGTTTGTGAAACGCTGGACTCCCGCCTACCGGCCGTCGCTGTTGGCATTTGGCTGGCATGTTCATGCGATTGATCCCAGCCCTCGACCCAACCGACGGGCAGGGGTCCAGCGTTTGTCAGACGCTGGACCCCACCAATGGCGGGGCAGG